TACTCACTGAGAAGGCACAGAGCAGACTAAGACTGGTCTGAGTCTGTGTGTGGGTGTTTGTACTGACCAGGAGATTATCCACTGCACAATCAGGCATGCATTTGCTGTGCATTTGAATAGCACTTTAGAGCACTATAATTTATACTTAYTTTTACTAAGTGCTCAAGCTACTGYTCTTTGTGTGTTACCAGGGCTGACTTTTACTCCACGTGCAGGTAGGCTGGGAAGTTTTACTCTGATGTAAACCCTGGGAGCAATTTGTACCCCCGTGGTAGGGAAAGCATTATGCTGAGAAACTCAGGCATGCCAGACAAAATTATGGACTTACAGACGCAGATGAAGCTTGTGTTTCAGTCCTTAAGTGCCCAGATTCCCACTGAGCCCAGCCAGAGATCCATACACATAAACATCTTTACAAAGGTATATTTGAAAGGCATTAATTGTGCTTTTAAAATGCAATTTTGATGCAGCGCCAACAGAAGATGCAAATGGCTGCAGATGCACAGCACAGGGATAAAYCTTGGAAAGCTTTAGGGAATGCAGGAGCCATTCCAAAAGCTGAAAAGTCATCTAGTAAGAGATCACCACTGCTGTAGTTCCCATCCTTCGCTGCATGTGATTGGCTTGTGTGGGATCTACCAATACAGTGAAGAAATAGAGAAATGTCAAAATGGATTMTTTCATTTTGGTGATGAAGTGCTCGCTCTGCTTGCCAGCATGCAGGGCTCAATAAAAGCAGACAGGTCTTCAAAAAATAGCAGCATAAATAGATGAACTCTTTAAAGTAATATAAGTTCTGTCATCTGGATGTGAAATATAGACCTAAGCGCCCGCCGAAGTGAAAGCTGACCGCACATYCCGCAGAGAAGTGTTAAAAGTTTTCTCGGAGTGTCTTGAGCTGAGGAATGTTTTAACTACATCTCTCCTCGCCACAACACACAGAATGAAAGCATTTGAAGTTAAACCCATTTTTCAAAAGAAGAAAACAAAGCATCCATAAAGAAACAAAGGCAGAGCATGRTATGAGGTCTCTAGATAGCCACTGTTTTCTGGGAAGCTGCAATTAGCTGTGCAATGGAGAAGGTGAATTTTGTGGTATTTCAATAGTATTTATAATGATTGCAGCAGCTAAAATGCTGATAGGGACTTGCAGGGGGTTGGKTTCAAGATTTCCTTGTGAGACACAAGGTCAGGATTCCTATGRTCTCCTGTCATATTTAATTCATATYCTCTGGCCTTCTTCACCACATTTATTGAGTTACAGGAATAAAATTCAATGAACCAAAAACAAAAAAAAGAGAGAGAGGACACGGCAAGTTTTGATTTCTTTTATGTCCCTCCTGCACACCTGAGTTCAGTGGACTTSTAGGAGAGCATGTTGGAGCAGGATTTGGAAGGAGGGGGAGGTACAATTTGGTATAACCCCTCTCACCATCCCCATAATTGCATCCAGGGGATTTATTGCAAGCAGTAACCATTTCCACGTGGGAGTGAGGATCCAATTTCTACCAGTCAGGACTCTCCCYGGGTGCTTTTAGGGCTAATTGTGCACTCCCTGTGCATGTCTGCCAGCTTCCTTCAGATCACAACGAGATGGCAGCAGAACAGCTTYACCCAACCATTCTTCAGAGAGCATCACCAGCAATTCATCCCATCGGGGCTGAGAGGAAACCCTCAAATATGGTAAAAGTCCCAGTTGCAGGGAAGTCCCTCTTGTAAGGACGATTCCCTGCAATCTGTTTGGTTAAACTGACACAGTCTTTATCCTCCTTTCCAAGCAGGATGCTGGAAGCACAGCATTCCCAACAGTCCTGTGGAGAATGGGGAGCAGCTCTGGGCTTCGGGGAAGATGATTTCATTGTGTCTCCTCTACTACAATGCTGTTTTTATTGCCCTGTATGCTGCCTCCAAAGACTGCCTGGTCTGGGTTGTGGCTCCCTCAGACCTCTCAGCTTTTTTTCCAGTCAAACCCACAGMCAGATCTGCACTGTGGTTCAGACACCCACAGGGGTCAAACAGAACCATCCCCCAGTGGGAGCACAGTCACAGCAGCACCTCACACAAACACCCTGTACTGGTACCCAGTAACAACACTGCCAGCTGCGTTTGGAGCCAGGTATGTATGAATCTGGCTTCTGAGTCTGCCACAAAAAATTCACCAAAAAAACAAGACAGAAAATGCTTTGAAATTCTATCCTAAAATGCAAGCTCACCACTATTTAGCATTGGCATTTTAATTYTTGGAAATGTCACAGCTAATAAATAATGTATTTTCTTTAAGCTACAATATACATTTTTATTTCACAACTTGAATCYTCTTAAATTTCAAAAAAATAAGCACTTTGCACACATACATGGCAACCTATGTGATGGTTGCCTTTTCATTTAATACATTTAATAAAGGTGACCAGATGCTTTGTGTTTTTAATGGCTTGTTCTGCATCCCAACAAAATGTCCCTGTTTTGGCTGTGAGAGCAGATGATTCATCCTGAAACCCAGCCCAGCTGCCCTGACACAGGCAGGGTGAGTTAAAAACCCACCATCTGTGCTGAAGGAGTGGGCTGGAGGAGTGCTTTGTCAGGAAAACACTGTCCTTCCTTGGGCACTGCGTATTCCAGGCAGCCAGGAATCCCAAAGCCCTGTGGGTCCAACCTCTCTGCCTTTGCAGATGGAATTCTGCAGTTATATCCCATCTCCCAGCACATTCTCTTCCTTCCTCCCTTCCTGAGAAGCCCCTCAGCCTGCTCTGCCCGTGCGTAGATCAAACATTGCTGTGAAATGTAARATGTTGGTCCTGGTTTTATTCTTTCCAATTACATGGCAAAATTCCTGCCYGTGTGGCTGCCTCAGCCAAGCCTCATGCTCAAAAAAAAGTGWGAGGGATTCATTTATGGCTTTTGTGAATAATTAGCTCTGCCCAGCTCTGCATTAGCAGCACTCCAGCGCCAGCTCTGCCAAAGGACACATCCTGAACTCACAAGCAGCACTCGCCCCAATCCAAGGGCAAAACTCACCCCCAGGCAAAGCTCCCGTGCTGCCTCAGCAAAGCCAGGCAGGAATATCTGCAGGGAAAGCCTGGTTTGGAGAGTATCACTTGGTTCCAGCCCCACAGCCTTTTCCAGCTCACCTCCTCCCCACCCGGAGTGTCCCGGCAGGACATCACCACCCCRGGGTGGGAGGAAAAGGTTCCCAGCAACTTTTCTGCACAGCCTGTGCTCTGCAGCACTTGAAAGAAGCATTGCAGCTCATCTGGCATGCACACGAATGACAAATATGCTTCAGAGGCAATAAATTAGCAATTTCAAGGCTTTACTTCCCCTCATGGACTAATTGCCAGAGATTATAGTATATTATGTGAGAGCAATGATACTAATGCCTAAATATGCTTCAGTGATTATAGAGCTATCCTCAATAACCAAGCTGTTTAAATGTCAATGCAAGAAAGCTCTTTATTATGAGATTAAATATTATTTTGAAGCAATGCAATAGGAACTTCCCAAGCTTTCTGCCTGCACTAATGCTGCCTTGGGGCAATATATATTGGACAAGGTATGTTTTTTTAAAATGTATACAGTAAAGGCTCCCTAAATGCTGTCGTGCTGCAAATTTGAACAGCATTCCTGATAAGGAGGARGACCTTGGCATATTTTTATTTTGCAGTTGTTACTAACATGCCTTCATCCTTTCTCCACTCATGTATCAACAACTGTATAGAGAAGATAAATTCTTGTTTTCTGTTAGTGGAGTTGGGAATCAAACCTCAATGACCTTTTCTTTTATTGTTTTTCCCCTCATCTCTAACTACCATTATCCTGCACAGATGCTTTTGAGTCCAGCCCCTCACACCTAAATAAATCTGGTAATASCTGGCATTGAGACAACCCCTGGAAATCAGATGGAAGCTCCAACTTTCAGATTCAGCTGCTGGCAGAGAAAGAAAGTGTCTTTAAGCCATAACTCCAACTGCACAGCTCTGCAGATGCCAGGTGGTGATCACAAGCTCAGGTGTGGATTTAGAAGGAAGGGAGGCTAAAAGGTCCTTGGCATCCCACTAATCTCATACAGGACCTCCCCATTATGGATCTGTCGAACAGCAGTCCCTTGATTTCTAGTAAACTTGGTAATTAAAACTCATAATTTTTATAATAGTAAAGAAAGCATAGATAGGCCTGTGGGGACAGGGCAAGTAAAATTACGGACACAGAAAGACAACTGCTTGTGAACTTTGGTGGAATTCTCACTTTTAAGTAATTTTTTTCTTATAAGAAGTATTGTTTCTTAAATACAGCCTGCACCTCTCTTCCATGGTGTGCTCCTGAAGCAAAGAGGGGCTTCATACACAGATGACCAGGGAACTTATCAGAAAGAATTCCATCCTGTCCTGCCTTAGCAGGACTGGACACCTGGATCTATGTCTCAATACGTTCTGCTGCAGCCTGGCAATCGTTCACTCTGAATTTTTGATGTTTTCATCTTGGCTGGTTTCTTCAGCCATTTTATATCTCACCTATAAAACGTAATGCTTGCTTACCACTGAATGTCGGAAGCTCTTTCTGAWGCTCAGGTAAAAGACACCTGCCACACAGGCTCAGAAAAGACATAAATTGCTCTATCATTTGTAACATTTTAAAATATCTTCATCTATTAAAATCGCAGTGTGACTGACAAGGAACATGCTGAAAGGCCAGGAGAATCCTTTCTCTGCTCTTCCAGGCAGACAATAATCTGACATCTTTTTTGTTACGTCTTGACTTAGAATATAGMAAACCATATCTTTATCTTTCTAACAATAATAAACTCAGAACAGGCATGTTAAGTAAACAACCAGAACCAATACATTGACACTTCTCAAAGGACAGTTGTGTGGCCATACCAGAGAATGGTGGAAATTACCTGCATTTGGTTGGTTTTATTCAAATCTTATTTTAAATCAGATAAAAAAACTGTTACAATTTTGCAGCTGCTTTATGAAAGCCCTCCCACTGCCAGCCCCACTCACCATGAAGCCTGGGGCACAGGTGCAGCTCCCAGTGATGCTGTCACAGTCGGCCCCGTTGTGGCAGGGACAGGGCACCYGGCAGCCCTCGCCGTAGTAGCCCACGGGACACGTCTCGTTGCAGTAGAGCCCAGCCCAGCCAGCCTTGCAGCTGCACTCCCCAGACAGAGGATGGCAACTAAGGAAGGGACAGACATTCATGAGTTGTGGGCAGGAAGGGAAAACACAGCCCAGAATGTGTCACATGTCACACTAGGGACAGGACAAGCATGGAAACTCTTTAGGGTGGTCCACATAACCAACTGTATAACTGGGAAGGGAATAGGGAATCTGGTGCTAAATTCCAGCCTGGCCCAGCATTTCCAAAYACCTGGGAACTGCCACAGCACTGGGCAGTTTACACCTTGAAGTTTAAGATCTTCCATTCTCAAATCAATGCCACTGGGATTACTRACACCAACCACACCATTAATCCTTACAGCTGCAGGACAGGTATGTGTGCACTACTTGGCTGGAATACAGGCAGCCAAAGATGTTCAGGGCTAGGAGAAATTCCAGTGGGTGGAGGAATGCAATCAAGAGAGCTATGAAGATAAACCTGAGTTCTGGGGCACAAATATTATTCTATTCTATTCTATTCTATTCTATTCTATTCTATTCTATTCTATTCTATTCTATTCTATTCTATTCTATCCTATTCTATTCTACTCTACTCTACTTTACTCTATTCCTATGCAGTCCTCAGTGTGAGAGATGAGAAATAATATTGCTGCAAATCCCATTATCTTTACTCTCAGAAAATGGAGAATAGACTTCTGCAAGGTGGGATCTCTCTCCAGGCCTGTCTCCTGGTTTTTTGCATCACAGAAACAATTTCTTTTCCTTTATGATTATTTATTGCTACAGTTTAAGATTGTAGACATGACTGAATGGGTTTCTTTACACCYATAAAATTAATATTGTATATGTTAATTTTCAAGGTAACCTCATAAAATGTAATTTCCAAGTATGTTYCAGGCAATTACTGGTAGGAGAGGTTGGTCATATAGTGTTGCAACTAAAAAGGATCAAATTTTCTAAGTGTCAAATGTTTCATCATAAATAGTGTTTTACTGACTAATTAAAACAATTCATCAGCCTAACAAACTACCGTCCATGAAATTCTTCTGACAAAGCAGTCCCTGAAATTATGGTTTTCCACAAAGCACCTCTTAACATTCAGATGAAAATAATAAAACCTCGGGTTTCCCCCATGTGTGTATTAATCATTGYCTAATAGGAGCAGAAAGCTTAATATTAAAGAAGGATTTTGAAGTGAATTTTGTGTTTCTCTGTTTCCACTACTACCACATGTATCATGTGCTTCCATGAGAACTGCATCTCTTGCTAAATTAAATCTTTCCAAGGTAATATATGACCAGGGCAGTTTGAATCAGTCTGTGACAATTCAACTGAAAATACTACACTCAGTAAGAATTTTCACTCCGAGGTTGGCTCCTTTATCATCATGGACAGGCTTTTTGCATGGGAGCATGGGATACAAGCTATAYTTTAAGGACTAAAACTCATCCTGACGTGCACTAAAACAAGAATCAAAACTAAACAGACTTTCTAGAAGAATCTACTGAAYGCAGGGAACTTGGACTGCAAAACAAGGGCCAGTAGAAGGCTGAGAGCATATTATGCTCCACCAAAGCCTTGTCCATGCTTTCATGGGACTGTGAGCCAGGAAAATGCAATGAAGATGTTTGGGGCCCTCCATCCATACAATCTTCCCATTGAASTAAGGATGATTTYGYTATCAGCCTGAGCAGATCAGAGTTYTGTTTTCCTCCTAAACCAAAAGCACTCTTTGACAATCAAGGTGCCTGATGCAGTGTTAACTTGARGAGGGCTGAGATTTTGATGCTTTCCCAAACTGCAGAAAGCAGCTGTTCTCTTCCCAATCCTGCCAGGGAATCTTGGCCACCTAACTGTCTCCTCTGCCTTAATGTTTCCCATTTCTAAAATGATGCCTTTCTTCCTTTGGAAATCCTTTAAAGAACTGTAGTGGATATCACTAAACAATACAGAGTTTTTATATGAATTCTTCTTTCTGTCTTGTATGAACTATTCAGATAATTTAAGTGAAAAGAGTAACATACTAAATAGACTGCAGCTCATGATGTAGAAGTGGATATATGTGTGTGTTCGGAATGTTTCTCTTCTGTAAGCATTTTGAAAAACTATGTTCTGGTCAAATTACAGACCTAGAAATACAAAAGAGCCAGAAAATTCATCTATTACCCATGCAAACATCCATGCACCCAGACTGCCCAGTGAATGAAATGCTATTTGGACAAAAGTTGTAAAGTTTGAGGCAGAATAAACCTTGAATAGCAAACACAGCCAGAAATTGGTATCAGTAACTGTGTAATTCCTCCCTTCCCGTTCTGAATGCACCTTTCCAGGCCATGTGTCCGTGGAACATTTTGCCAGCATGGGTCACAGTGCAAGTGAGGCACTGCCAGTCCCCAATAAACTGAAATGAACATAAATTAATCAACACTAACAATTCCTCTGCAGAAGGATCATGGAACTGATGGATGGGAGCATGGGAGGGTTCCAAAAGGATCCCAAACCCACTAACATCTGTTTTCCAGCCCTTGCTGGGAGCCAGAAGGGAACTTTACACCCTTCAAAGAGTTTAGCACTGTYACACTTGAGTAGTTTACATTGAACCTCAACAACTTTTATTTCTTCAACTCTGCTGCATCACAGGAAGAAGCGGGGTAGGAACCAGGAGTGAACAAAGGCAGCCAAGTGTTCCTGTGGCTCCAGGCCAAGCAGAGGCGGAACGGAGTTGTCCACARCACACAACAGGGCTGGAAATGAAAGGATTCCAGGGCTCTTGCTGCATTTTGGAAGTTACTGTACAATTCCTGTCTTTTGAGCCACATTTACAGCAATAAAAGATYTATTTGTAAAAATTTTACCAGCTGAACTTAAAAGCATAAAGGCATTTTTGACCTTTAATTTTTTCAAGCATCTAATTTGGAGGAAATCTGATGAAACCAGGTAAATTTCTCAAGGCAAATTAGAAAAAGAAATATTTTAGACAGCACATTCTGTTCCAAATTCTGAATTTGTTCTCCACACATCTTTCAGCCAAAGCAACACCTTCCCAGTGAATTCCCTGACTTTCTGTTTATATAGCATCATCAGTCATCTCATTTTTGTTAACAGCAGCCTAATCTTTACAGTATTTTCTGTATTTTAGAGCTGTCCACTCTACATTCAGTCTCTCTTGCTAAAGTGTCTCTTGCTTTAAAGCAGTGGCCACAGTGAGACTACAGGGCYGCTCCTCCAGTCCAGCACATCTTCAAAGCCAGCCTTGCTCAGCACATTATTGACTCAGATCAAGGCAGAATTTCCTGGAAGCTCCATGGGGTTTGGTCCTCCCAAACCCRCTGGTGTTGAGGCAGTAATTGGAGCTTCTGGAGATCTGCCCATACCATCTGAATTTGCCACAGTGTCTTCCTTCCCTTCTCACAYCTCTGACCTGGGGAAGATGTTCCCAAGGGCCCATGGCTCCTCAGGCTGGCTCCACAGCAGTGCTCAGGAAGGGTGGGTGGCCAAGGCTATTCCAGCTGCTCCCTTCCCTCCCTGCCTGACAAAAGAGCAAGCCAGGATTTTTCCTTTCCAGCTATCACGGGCTGTCTCAACGTGGACTTTTTGCAGAGGGGAGTTTTTTRCAGGTGTACCCTTCCCTGTGGAAGGACAGTCCCATCACCACCACATTCTAAATCACCTCATTGTGGGGCTGTTCACATGTCCCATACAAAGTGCCTTTCAGTGTGCTTTGATGCAGAAATTATTGCATGGTGTCCTTCAGTCATTACCATGCTGGAGGTTARACAGGATGATCACACTGATCTCTTCAGACATTAAAATAAATAGATCCATGCAAATGGAAAAGCTGATTGTGTATTTCTTCCTGTTCCTCCTCAACTACTCCTCAAAGCCTCCAGAATTTTCCAGTCAACTCTCCAACAACCAGATCAAACGAGACAAAACCAGGGATGGGAGATTCCCTTCCCTTCTACAAGTGTTTATATAATTATCCTACACACTTGGGGACCACAGCGGCTTAAACTGCTCCTGGGGAAAATAGCTGTGGGTAAATGAGTAACTTTGGAAGAGCCTGGTTTCAGTAAGGAGAAACACTCAGGGAGGAATGGGAAGAGGTGGGTGGGAAGAGAAGTGCACTTTATATGGAACTGGTTAAACAATCAGCACKAAGATTTGTTCAGAATACGGAGTGCCTTTGGGAAAGGTCATTTTCCATCAGCTCTGGAGCTCCTTGGCTCAGCAATTGACAGCACTTTGCAGAGCTGGTGGGAAAGTGGAGAGCTGAAATCCCATGGATGAATGAAAGAACATTTACCGATCTACAGCTTGCTGATATCTCTTTGTTCCATAACAGCAGCGATAAGATGTAGGAAAAAGGGAGATTTTATCAACAGAGAGACCAGACTCATTTATTAAGGAAGCAGAGATACCATCTCAGCAGAGGATGCTGCAAGGGAAGCTGACGGAGCAGTGTTGGGAGGGAAGGAATAAAATGTTCCCATCAGACAGCAACCAGGCACAGGCAGAGTGTGCAGGAATGACCACATGGCCAGGAAAGAGCTGGGAGAGGATTCAATCCTCCCCCTTTCTGAGCTCTCTGAAACCCCTCTGAGACCTCCTCTTTCCTCACAGCTGGATGGTGCAAGTCTGTTCTTTCAGGAAAGATCCTCTGGCAAACTCTCAGAGCACCTCCCACGTAGTTCTGAGTAACACTGGGTGAATTCCTTCACCCTCAAACCCACAGCCTTACCCCACCTAAATGAATTCAGCACTTGGATGAGAAATAGCAGCTGAGCTCAGCCTTGCCTGTGGCCTGCAGCCCTTCCACTCCGTTTCCCCTTTCTGGAACACGGGCACACCAAGAGGTTTCTGCAGGCTCAGGAGGGGAGAGAACACACGTGCCAGCTGCTGACCATGAGCATATTCTCACCCTCYTGTACACCTGAAGAACATTTTACACTGAGGAACAATTCAGCCTGGGCTCAGCACAGGTTGGAGCCGCACTCACTRGCAGGTCCTGCAGTGGAATGACACGTGGGAATTCATCCCTCAGCTCGCTCTGCAATAATTCCTGAGGCATCTCCCATCCTCAGCACAAACAGCACCAACCTTTTGTGTATAGTGTGCAGCTCATGCCTCAGGGAGGGTATTTTTGGCAGTGATTTCATGATCCACAACATGATCAGAAGCGATGGAAGACTCTGGTGCAGAGTTCCCTTGGAGCCTCAAACCCTCTGGATCCTGGCTGTCAAACCCAGTTGTGCCAGAGCTCTCTTGCTGCACAGGGGTTGTATCACCACAATTACAAGTTTTTAAATAATCCATTGTGAGCTCTCACTTTCAGTTAAGCAAAGCCTCACGACTCGCAGCTGAATTCACAAAGAAAATCACCTGTTTATTTCCCAGACTGAGACAAATAGGCTCTATCTCAAGCACACAGACAGATTAGCCTGAAGTGTTTGTGTGCGTGTGGCTGTGTGTGCACACAAATGAGGTGCCATTTCTTGCATACATAATTGAGGGTGTTTAGATTTTAGCAGCAGCAAGATGGTAAGGTGGGTTTGTCATCATCAGCAGGGCRGTCAGGTCCCCACCTGTCTGGTTGGAAATTGAAGAATGTCTGGATTGAGGGCGTGTTTGCTTGGCCATCAATTATCTCCAGCTCCCCCTGAAGCCTAGGCAGCCCTAAATTGGCTCTGCTGGTGAGCAGGAATGGACAGAAGAAGGAGGGACTCCAGTGGCAGCTGAGGGGCTCAGCACTGGGCAGGAAATGTGGCTCCAGTCCAYCAGAAGCTCAGGCCAGGGTGGTTTGGCTGCCCAGGCTCCCTTTACTGCAAGAGAGGGAGGGAGGATTCTCCAAACAGCAATTCCAGYAGTCAGTAAACAAGGCAAGGAGTTACTAAAGGTAACAAAGAGGATAATAAGGAAGTCTTAAATTCTTCTTATGTTTTCAAGGTTTGGAGAACTTATTCAAGCCTGCAATGGGAAAGTAAATTCAAAGTACTCAAGTCCGTCTGTGGTTCTTTATCACAGTAAAGAGAACCTCAAAAATTAGATTTCAAAAAGAGCAAAAAAGAGAATAAACCATCAAACAGGACCCTGACCTTTTAGGGAAGGCTCATTCTATTGTAGGTATAATTCCCTGATATTTATTTCCCTGAATATTTCCCACATGCTCACAGAAAATGAAGAGCAAAACCAGGTTCATGTGAGGAGTCTATTTTGACAACGTCGACCCTGTTACTGTTCCACAGACTGACTCAGGGATATTGATTTCAGTCTTTTTATACATCTGCCTCAAGTGTTTCCAACAAGRTAATTTGCCATGAGACATCAGCTGAAGCAAATTAGGTTTCATGTTCAAAGTCCCCTTGCTGTCTATAGAYCTAACAAGGAAAACCATGTCATAAAAAGAAGCAAAGTGATGGATTTGAGTAAATATGTATCTATTTTTTAAACTTCAGTGGGTTATTATCCATACATATGAGCATCATCTGGTGGTTCTTATGCCTAGAAGAATTTCATTACAGGATAAAGCTGCATGTCAGGCTGTTTCATGTGTCACCAGAACTGTTAACAGATACATGCTTAGTGTCTGGCTGGATTGAGGCTTATGGATTCAAACTCGAGGTCATTTAAATCAGTTTTGCAATCAAGAGAAACTCTGTACTTAAAACTACAGACAGAACGACAGTAGGTGTAGTTAACGGAATGTTTTCCCGTTGCTTTTATTTGACCAGTGCCTGCACTAGAATATTTCACGATGCACATACCTGAGAGTGTTGGTAATATTGCAAGGGCATCTCTTGTTGCATTTGAGGCCATAATAGCCTTCTGGACACATTCTTTCCTGGCAGTGAATGCCTTTGAACCCAGGGTCACATATGCAGGCCCCATTGACGTGGTAGCACTTGGCCCCGTTCTGGCAGTCACAGGTCTGTGAGCACTGGAAGCCGTAGGTGCCGATGGGACACTCCTCCTGACACCTGCAACAGGATAGGGGAATAGGATTCAGTCACAGCCACAACCTCATCAGGACATGGCTGTTACACAGGAACCTTTCTGTTAATGAATTAAGCACAAAATCACTGCTCATTTATTTAARTAACATACTGCTGATGGTATCAGCGGAGCGACAGGACATCCTGGGCATGCAAATTGCTGCTAAGAGAAGCTGCATTCAGCCATGCCCAATTATATCCTGCTCAATTTGCATTAGTTAATATTACCTTCATTTCAAAGTGCATTCTTCTTTCCTGAACCTTGACAATTGCATTCATCAGTTGTAAAAAACAGACAGGCAATAAAATATTTTATTAAGAAACCCCTCTCCTGGTTGACTTCTCTTTATCACAGAAGGATTGTGCACCTCCCTTGAAAGCATATGGTCCTCTTGGTGATGAGGAGGGTTAAAAGGGAATGGGTATTTAGCAATATTCAGCAAAATGATCTCCAGCAATGTTTTCATTTTACTTGCCCCCTTTGCTGTCATTGCACCGGTTTTATACCAACATAGAGAAAATAAACCCCTTTGTGTTTTGTGTGTGTTCTGAGTAACAAAAGCTTAAATTTACCTTTCTTCTACTCCAGGGTTGCTCAGTAGTAAAAAATCTCAATAAAAATCACTTTCATGCTCCTTAGTGGAGAATCTTCTTTAAAATTGCCAACATTTTTAATATTTGATGCACATAAAATTGGAACGAGCAAACACTTTACACAGATTGTTTTAAATTGCACCTTCCATGTACTGTTAAAAATATCTCCCTACTTGAATACATTCTGAGATCTGCCAAAAAGTCTGATTCCTTGTCCTAAACAACYAATTTAAGAGTTCAGACTATTTCCTACTCCTAAAAGCTCAGCTAAGGTCCTGAAGAAAGCAACTGATTCTGTGCTTGACATAATTCARTGGCTTCAAAATTCTGCAATGAGTCAGTACCAGGGTTTACATGATCCACCGTGAAATACAGATAGGCCTTTTCAGTTAATAAAAACAGAAAAAGAAGCCCAGAAAAGCCCAATTCCCTTATCACATGGATGCCAGGCATTGGAAATTGCCTATCAGCATTAATTTAAGCCTGAGCATTGATTAAAGTGTATACTGTAAACTCAGTGGATGGAGGCAATTGTTAAATGTCTTTCTGCAGGTCATTTCACAGCTGGCAGGTGAGAGTTAATATAATGATCAGTAATAAAAGATTAATGTGTGATGCAAGCCAGGCAAAACTGCAATGAACACGGGCAGTATATAAGAAGGGCATTACTTTTGCAGCTTCAGATTATCACGTTTTACTAAAAATAAATGAACACAGCAAAGGGCCTAGCTGGTGATTTAATTCCAGCASGCACCAACACAGTTGCTGGTTGCAAATCCGAGTTGAGGAGTTCATACGAGCCCCAAAGTAAAAGGAGTTTGGGACAAAGAGGGAAAGAGTCTGGAGAGGCAGCAGAAGAGAGAGCCCTGCTGCTCTCAGAGGGTTCAGCTGCAAAGCAAAGAGCCAGCAGAGAATGGGAACAGTGGGGCTGGAGCACTCACAGCGAATGAAATGCAATAGGAACAATGAAGCTGCTCACGTCCCCACTGCCACACAGACCCCAGAGTGAGCAGGAGAGCTCGGTGCTCCACGGGGTGAATTCTCAGTCAATAGTGCACTGTATCATTCTATATTTATAGGAGATGAAGCATTACCTAGCAGGGAGAAAAGCATCTRGAAATGAAATATTGACGACCTAATCCATTTACATAATTAGCCTTTTTCTACTAACAATTTAACCAACTTATTTATTTGGAGATCAAGCAGCTACTGCTAATGAATTTTATACAAAGAATACTAATAATGACTCCTCTGGAACATGAGAATAATCACAGCAGGAATTAGCTTTCTACTTAAACATCTTTCCTTTGCAACATATCAATCTAATGTGTCCATAGCACCATTAACAACCAGATACATTGTTCAATTAAATTACAAAATGAGCTGCTAAGCCCTAGTTATGTTTCTTGTTTAATTTACATTGCTTTCTGCCTATCTGGGGAGATTCGTATTGTAATATCCACTGAACTTTAATATGTACTATAATTATTTGGGTTGGGATAGGATAATATGGCTGTCACCTGTGGAATTAATGGAAGCAATTTCACAAAATATTAAACAGAAGACAGCCTGCTTAACAGATGAACTTAGTACATGCACCTACGTTTTTCCCCACAATTTTCTTTTTTTAAGGAATAATGCTGCAAAGGTTTTTAGGCTGTTCTCTTTGTTTTGAAACAGTAATCCCATTTATGTASCACAGACAAATATGAAAAGCCATCCTAAATACACTAACCTGGAGATAAGAGATGCAGGTACAAACACAATAACAGGAGAGTAAATCTGCCCACATAGTTCTAATAAATGTGAGATTTATTCTGTTAAGAGTCAATCTCTAGATATAAGGGCAATATGGAAAACAAAGCCAAAGCAGCATGTTCACTTTTCCTGTGAGCTGAATTCTGAAGCACTCCAGTCTCAGCTTCTAACTGTGCCTCTGCCATTATTCCTTTCCAGTTTGTAAAACGCATTTCCATGACAGATCCAGTCATTTCAGTGAGCACAAAGCATCCTGCAGTTATTAACAGTGCTGCCAATTGCTGAGAGATTTAGTGCAGTGCCACTCTTGGAAAACAGGTAGGGAACAAAAGTGTGGCAATTACACTCACACAGAYCTTCATGACCATTTCATCTCCACAGATATTTATCTAACTCGATGTTATTATCTTCTGCACATGATGATGAACTGTAGCATTATATGGTACTTATTGACAATTTAAAGATGATAGTAGGTAAATTGTATTTATGTCTTTATTGCTGTTATTCACAGTATYCATCATTATTAAGAAGATTTTTGCCAATGCTTCGTGAAACGTTGAAGAAAGCAGTGTTTTGTTGTGCAGCAGATTGTCCTGCTCTTCTTTTTGCTGTGGCAATGCAAGAGCTGCAGGAGTTGCAGAGGGTAAAACAGACTCTGAGCTAAACTGGAGCTGCGTGCTCTGTCCCATTGCCCAAGTGGTGCGAACACATAACCAAGGAAAGCAAATCAGACTCATTAAAGACCTCATCCCTCCCTGAAGTCCATGGGCAGGGGTGTGCTCAGACCAAACCAGTACAGCCAGTATAAACCAGTACAGCCAGTATAAACCAGTACAGCCAGTATAAACCAGTACAGCCAGTATGAACCAGTACAGCCAGTACAACCCAGTGCAGCCCAGCCCAAGCGAGAGGCAGAACTGCAGGATGTAACAGGCCTGAGGTTCCCCTTCCCTTATTGAAGGGGGATGAGAGGCTGATACTTGAATATGTTTTAACCTTTCAAGAGCCCATTAGAAATGTGGGAATTTCTAGGCTAATCCACTTTTACCCTGCTGCAGGCAGAGCTTTCCTAACTGCTTGTTTACCTTTTAAATCCTATTCTCATTCATCCTTTCACACACCTGCATTTCTGCTCTCCTGCCTCTCCYTTCAGTGTTTTTCACTTCCCAGCCCCAGGACGGGGAAGGTGAGCCATTCCCAAGRGTTTTGCTTGGATGCAGGTCCAGAACAGGACCTTCTCTCACTTCTTTCCACTTTTCCTAACTGATCCTGCCTTATTTTTGTTCCTCCCTCCTTTCTTAAGCCACATCTCCCTTTGGAGTCCTAATCTCTCTCATTTTTCTTCAAGCACAGGTCTCCTGAACCCTCTGCTCAAGCACAATCCTTTTGAGTTCCTTCCAGGTCTTCCCTGAGGTGCCTCCTCTGCCCAGTGTCTCCCTGAGATGCCTTCTCCAGCCCCTCTCCAAGAGCAATCAGCAGTAAAACCATCTTCCAATCTCCTTTCCTCATCCCCAATAGGAGCACAGGCTGCTGGCTGGGGGCTCCCAACAGCTCCAACACTTGATTGGATTGATTCACCTACAGCCAGGAATMCATCAGGGTGTGCAACAACCAAATGGGGAGACCAGGAGGCTCTGTCAGCTTTTCCCAGCATGCCCAGAACTGGGAACAGCTTGGGATTGTAGTGTGGTCACCACTATAAAGGTCCAGGCTGCATAGTTGCCTCCTTTAGTGAAAAAACCAGGAATTATATGGCCCCACGTCTGGAAACACTGTCTCCAGATGGAGAACGGGGAAGAGAGGCACACTGATGTCTTCTCCTCTAAATTACTTGGAAATAATTAGTATTTACTCTGTATTCAACCCCATGCAAATCCTGGCATAAACTACAGAACCCCCTCCAGTTATAATTGTCCATAAAATGGAAACAGGGAAGYTCCACATGAAACGGGAAGGAGCAGCCTTCTGACCCTCCCACAGGGATGAGGGTTGGATGTTTGTGCTACAACGACCTGCTGATCATCCAGCGAAGGCAGRAATGAGAAATTCCAATGAGCTTTGTTACATAAAAATATAATTGTAGCATATGTCAGCACTGAGCTAATTAAACAGAGAATAGAGAGGAGAAAGTGCTTTAGCACAATGCACACTGGTGAGYTGTGCATCTCTGCAAACCCTGGTGCCCCAGCCCCAGTGAAAAGCAATCCTGAGAGCTGCCTGAACTGCACTTCCCAACCTTTGTTAGCCAGGATTAGCTGCAGGCTAAGGCAGCACGTGTCTCAATCCCTCATTGACTTTGCTGTGTAGTCATTTTGCTGAATCCATGACACCTTGGTAAAACAATATTATTATCTGCTCTGATCGATTCAGGGGTGAAGGCTCTCGTTTATAAATTTGGAGGATTTATCACCTTTTGCTGGTGGCTGAGATGGATCAGTGCTACAGCAGCACAGAGGAATGAAGGAGACATTAAACTGCTGCATTGCTTACTCTTGAGGATATTAATTTGTGTAAAGATAGTTCATTTACATATCTTGTAAACATGTAATGCTCTCTATTAAATTTATCACTGTAAATATCTAAATTAAATTTAATCCATTAAATTTTAAAAGTTATATTAAAAACCCCTGTAAATGGAGAGCATTGCCAATAAAAAGTAATAACATTGCCACATTTATATTGCTTGAAGTGCTTCAGAAGGATGAACCTAATTGGAGCAATAGAAACATAACATCATTTTTCAGGGAGGAAGTTTGTCCTAGAAGGGATATAAATATTGACAGTCCATGGTTAAAATGAAAGGCTTGGGGGGTTGATTTTTACCTGTCTCCTATATAGCCAGCTGTACAGAGGCATTTTCCTGTCACGGGGTCACAGTGTCCTCCGTTGTGGCATGGACAGTCCTGGCTGCAGTTAATTCCAAAGGTGCCAGGAGGACACGGCTGTGCACACACCAGCCCCTGGTAAGGTTGCAGAAAGAGCAATATTTCAGTCAACATTCATAATGCAATACATTTCTCTATGCAGCTCGGAGTTTTATTGTCCTTCTTGMTAAAACGAGATGTAAGTGTAGCAGCAATATTTTATCTGCATAAGATGTGCTAAAGACAGTCTGAAAACTCCACTACCACAGTAAATGCCTGCCTGGCCTGACTCCAGGAGGGATTTTTCTCACCACTGCACACTCAGGGATAATTCTCTTCCTTGGATCTCCCCCACAAGCTGCAGCTGGGCTGGCAGGAGGTTCACTGCCCCCTGAACAGCCACATGAAGATRTGGGAGAACTTAAAGGCAACCAGAGAAGTCTGCAAAGCTGCTTGTGTGCTCTTGGGTTTTTTGTGAATTGGAGAGTTTGAAAAGGCGTTGGCCACACCCTGTGTGGAGCAGATTTGGGAAGGAAGGGATTGTTGGAAAGGCTGCACTGGGAGGGTGCAGCTGTGCTGCTTTTGATGGTCTTTGATGATCTCTCCTGTTCAGCCAGGCTCACTCCATCCAACCAAACACAGCTCTGGGAGGAATCCTCTACTGCCCTTCCCACCCTTCAGTCCACCCTCTCTGCTCTCTCCAGCCCCACACCCATCTCTCAGAGCAGCACGGAATGGATCTGCCAGAGCTCTGGGAAAGCCATGGAAGGCCAGGTTGGCCATGAGGATTAGGATCACKGCAGAAAGCCCCAGTGATGGCACAGGAGTAGTGTGACTGCTCACATCAGCACAGCAGCAGCCTTCTGGCCAGGAGAAGGAATTCTGCAGGGGAATATCTGCCTAATCCCTGAACAGTGGTGGGATGCATCATCCAGCATCCTCCCAGCTCCCAATCCCCAGCCTTGGAGCCACATCTCTGTCCTTGACCTGCCTCAACTCCACATCTTGGTGGGGACCTCCTTTCCCCATTTTATGCTCCCAGCCCTCTGCTTTCCTGCCTCTTCATTCCAAATCCTTACTGCAGTCTCCCTTTRAGTCCTCTCCTTCATCCAGACCCAAATCCTCATCTCTGGGATGTTTCCTCCTTCCCCTCCCTGCCTAACCAGCCCTGGGAGTGAAGCAGAGCCAGTCAGTCCCGGCTGTGCATCCTGGCACTGCTCTCAAGGAAAAGAATTCCCAGGCAAYCCCTGCTCCAGCTGTTCGGCCCCAAGGCAGGGAATGTTCACCCTTGTGTGGGGCTGTGTCTCTGGAGGATTTACCTGCCAAATCCAGGTGGTTTCCCCCCAGGTATCCCACACGGTCCCTGCCAAGTATCAAGGCCTTACAAGGATTTCCCCAGACTTTCTTAGAAGTTGTATGAATGTTTYTCTCCCTGTGAGCAAATATAAAGCCTGAGGCTGGGATCCAGCTGAGGAACTTCAGCCAAAACAAGCCTGGCAGTGCTGGGATTTGAAGTTGTGGTCCCATAATGGAAAATGTTTGGCATCTGCAGCAAGTGGTGCTGCTGCCAGTGCCACCGCAGTGCCCAGTGTGAGACAGAAAACAGTGTCTGGCCACAGGATTATTTGGGTTTAATTTCTCTGTTTCCCTAACCAAGCCCCGGGGGCTCTGAGTTTTGAACAAGCACATATCAGACACAACTTATTCAAAATATAAGCCAGGGATATAATGGCCGCTTTCATTGCTTGGGGCTTGGGAAGTTTAGCTGGATCAACAACTGCAAAGTGAAGAGGCTGCTCTTCAATGTCACCATAAAACAGATACTTTGAGCCTTTCTCAAGCAGGGCCCTGTGGCTCCTTGGCTGTAAAACAGACAGGTTGGCYTCAGTTCAAGAACTTTCAGATTACAGTGTTAAAAACTGGTGTCTCTGGACTTGAGTAATACACAACACTATATATCTGAAAACCTAAGTGTCCATTTATCTTGATAATAAATACTTTCTCCCTTCATGTCTCAAAAGGAACAGGATTTCTATCAACAAATGATGAGAAAGCAATACTCTGGGATGCATACCCCCAGAGCCAAGAGAATCTTTAGCTGTACTTTTTGCATTAATATGTACTAAGGGAATTCAAAACATCCCTCTCTAGAGGATCAAATGTCAGACCAACATTTCCTGCTGCTTATACATCTAATCAGCAAAGTTCACCCCATCAGCACCTTTTTTAAGGCCCTGATCTCATCAACCTCTCCTTTTGACATCGTCTTCTATATTTTGGAGGACAGAAGATTTTTTTTCTGCTCCATTTTCTCAGACACCCTCATATTTAAAATCCTCAACAGAAAGAAAAATAGACAAAAATACAAATGATGCTTCACGAAGCCCAGAATCAATAGGAGAGAAGTGATGAGCAGAATGTGTTGTATTAACACAGCACCATGAAGGGGTTTGGGACTAAACAGGGGGTGTTGCCAGTGACAAATGTTCTGTCATGTCAGGAAATATTGCTGCTTTCCTGAGCACAGAGATCTAGTCCTTCAAAGGGGTTTCTGAAAAGCTGTAAATGCTAAATTAACTTCTCTCCCCACTTCCTGAGAGTGYTTGGAGAATTTAATACTGCAAATGAGAAAGATGCATAGAATTAAACCTGTAAATTGTTAATGAGGCCCTAAAGCAGCCACCCACTAAATTCCACAGCCACAAAGGCACAGGAGTGGAAAAAGCCCAACATTGTGGGATGCTGGAGGCCAATTTCTGATGACTGTTCAACAATAGAGGCTGTTGGCCACCATCATCCTGGTGAAGAACCCATGGGGCAGCAAAATCCCACAGGACACCATCCCTGGWACTTGTGCTGCTGGGGGATTCTGCACTGGTGGGAGGAAAGAAATTACAAGTCATGAAAGAAGCAGGCTTTGAAGATGGTAGATCCAAGGAAGAACCTCAGAACCCCAGAACTTCCTCCTTTTCAGCTCACTGCCTTCCCCTCCCCATCCCACCAAACCCCTCAGGGAGCTGAGCTCCTGTTAATAACCCAGCCCAGGAAAGGATAAAAGTTGCAGCTCATCCAGCAGCAATAAAGTCCAAGTGGATTTGCACTTGTATAAATCTAGGGAGAATTCTCTCCTTCCACAATGATGGTATATTCAATATATACGTGCAGTCTCCAGCCTCGAAATCAGCAAGTAAAATTCCTGGTGTCCCAGAAACCCGTGGTGTGAAATAAAACGAATGCTGTCTAGCAATCCCATCTCGCCTGCTCGTTTACAGCCCCCTCATGTCTCACTTCCCAAACCATTCCAGCCACCAAGAGTTAAAAATATAGCATGAAAAAATACCTCTTATCCCTCTCTGTACACTGAATTACCAGCTTTTCATTAAAACCCTGGAGAGACCCTTTATATTTAAAATCTCAACATTTACAAGCTGAGTGCTTTTACTTATAATTTCAGTTTCTTTCTGCAGAATACTTGATCTCTCTCTTCAATTTTCAGTTATGCTTGTTTCAAACATCAATTGTTAGCTCTAGGGTTCCTCTGGGGACTGAGCAGCCAACAACACAGTTTTCAGAAAAGTCTCTCTGGGCTCCTAAAAATGCATAAAAGAACTCYAGGCTGCAAGGAATTGGGCAGGACTGGGCCAGAATACAACCACAGCTGCTGTGCATACCCTCTTAGGTTTTTCGCTGCATCCTAAAAGACRTCTCAAAATTCCTGTTCTATTCTGATATTCTTATTTGTTTAGTGATGCTTTAACTTTGAAAAAGAAGAKAAAACTCCTGGTAAAATACAATTGAGGAAGAATACAGCAAAGCAACTCACATCCTGAGAAATCTTGGCATGCAAGAGGAGAGATGAAAAACGTAATATTTTTATTTAAAACACTTTATTGATCCCTTCTTAGAAGGTAGTGCCAGAACAGACTGATAGGCCCTCAAAAATATGTGAATTGTTTTCCTAATGCTTTAGGTCCAGCACTCAAGGAAAGAACCTTTGCTTTGCCTCCACTGATTGCCAGGTGAGGGCAAGGTGCCGCATTCATACTTCTGACAAGTTTTACCTTTGCCATTTCAAATGGAATAACTTCATCACCACCTTTGCCATGACTGGTGGTGTCAGATATTCCAGCTCTCCAGTTAGAGAGAGATTTTCCATACACAGCTTCCACCCAAACTTATGGACAGCAATATCCTCCCACATTGCTGATGCACAGCAACATCTCATGATTGGTACTTYTGGACTCAAAGCATTTGATGTATAAATGTAAAGGAACATAAACCTCATTCTCAGCTTTTATATGTTAGAACAGGTAGAGGGTCCCCATCAGAAGTCACAGTTGATTGATGATCCGCAGGGTTTTCCGTGTAAAAATAAAAATTTAGAGTACTTGCGTGCTTTAAAATCCAGCAACTTTGCCAAGAAACTAATTGTCAGACACAGGAAAAATGCCAGGAAGTTTAGTGCAGCTAAATGGGATGAAGGCCTGTGAGACTTGGCACACCCCAAGAGAGTTAATTATTGCATTATTGATAAAGTTGAGGACTTTTAAAATGCTTGGCCTTGCTTTCTTGACACAAAGGATTAAAGGTTAGGGCAGCTGTCTCTCTCCAGTGCAAGGCCTGACACAAGCAAATCTCAGGCAATCAATGGCAGYGATGTCTGAGCCAGGACACTGAACTGAAGTGGCCTCTGTGTGCTGGGCTCAGTCCTGCTCTGCTGCTGCCTGAGCCACCAGATTGTCCCTGGCTCCTCCTCTCTCCCAAAGGGGAACAGGACACTGGCCTTTGACCAGGCTGAGCTGRGCTTTGAGCTTTCTGTCCTGCGTGGGGGCAGTGTCTAAGGCTGCAGGGAATATTCCAGGAACTGGAACTCAGAGAGTCCAAGGTTGCAGGGAATATTCTAGGAACTGGAACCCGCAGACAACTCTTTTGTCTGTCTCATGGTTATTGCTGTTTCTTAAACTCTGTGATGTCACCTTCCAGTCACAGAATCACAGAACAATTCAGGCTGGAAAAGCCCTCCAAGATCATTGAGTCCAACCATTGCCCCTGCACTGCCAAGCCCACCAGTGACCCATGTCCCCAGGTGCCACATCCATGTGTTTTCTGAGCACTTCCAGGGATGGTGGCATGTCCCTGACTGCCTGTCTGTCTGTCTGTCTGCCCCTGCTGTGCACACCCAACAAAGCTGGTCCCAGTTTGGGAATTGTTAGAGCCTGGCAGGTACACATCAGCTGAGACAGTGAACAATTTACATCCTCCATGAGAATGAGCAGTACCCACCATCCATCCTGCAGGACAGGAGCACTCCCCAGTGATGTGGTGACAAACTCCCCCRTTCTGGCAGGGGCAGCGCAGCTCACACTGGGCTCCGTGGCTRCCGGGGGGACACAGCTCCTCACAGCTTCAGGGAGAGAGAACATCAGAAAACAAAGAGATCATGTTAAAGAATTTACAGGAAAAAATAAACGAGGAAAACCCACAACACAGGTCATCATGGGAGTCCTTATGCAAATGACAAAAAATTCAGAAAGGCTCAGCTGGCAYTGCCAATTAGCTGAGATTCCTTTTATTACTGCTGGGGTTGTTTATGTGCTGATCCAGCCCTGGAAGGCTGATGTATGTGTGTAACCTTTATGYATGTACCAAATCCCACCCATCTCACCAGGACAGCCCATAACCATTAAAATATCCCAGGAAAATATGAGTGGCAGGWTGAAGCCTCCAATGTGAATTATATGACATGGCAATAAAAGAAGCTGCAAACAGAATAAAAGGATGGGATTAAAACGCTTGAAATTTCTCCAGTCACTACTGAATGTTAACATTTGCAGCATATAATGGACTGGCAAGGACTCAACATCATTTAAASGCTATTTAAGCTCATTGAGCCTCTCTCAGTACTCGTGGGGGKGCAATGTAAGGCTAATCCCTGCAAAACCCAGTGTCTCCTACATCTGCACATCAGAGCTTTCAGCATCGAGGTTCTGGAACTACAGCATGTTCTCCCCCAACTGACTGAACATCTTCTGATGAGGATGTTCCTACAGCACATCAGGGGCTGGCCCTGCTGAGAACTGACACACTGATGTCAAGGGGAGCACTCCCAAGAGAAAGCAGAGTCCTTAGCAGTGAGTGCTTCCATGACTGAGGTCACAAGGCTAGGAGGAAATCAGGTACTAAATAAAATATTCACAAGGCCTATCACTTATTTATGAGGGTTAACRCTGTCTTTATTTTTTACCTTCCCCTTCATGCAGGTCAACAAATAATAATAGACTGCAAAAGTATTAACTCACCTGCAATAGATCTCCAGCCACATTCAGTGACTAAATTCTCTTTTCCCCTTAAATAATTCTGAAAAACATAATTACTTCTGAAACTACTGAAAGATCTCTAATGAGAACTGATGTTACACTGTGGGCAATTTTAAACAAGAAACTATTGCTTGCTGTCCTAAAATTAATATGCAGATTTTGTGAATCCTACTGGTAAACTTTCTGTGMGGTGGATGGGGATTTAGCTACATGATTCTCGTTAAAGTTAATAGGAGTCACACCGCTAAATCCCTGCACTCTATGCTTAAAATTTACCCCCTAGATACTAAGCTGATATAGTTAACAGAAATGCTTTCTCAGTTAGATTGAAAGTCAAATAAAATTGGGGATGGAAAGTCCCATTTGATGCTGCAACGGACTCTTAATGAGGAGAGAGTGCAACTGCTTATCACAACTCCCTGTAATTTGGATTGTATTCACATCCTGAAATTCGGAACAGGTAGASTTGTTGCATAAGCTGGAAAATATAAATGATTGTAAAACTTATTTTAGCACTATATATATATATATTTTTTTAATAGCATAGAATCATAGAATCCCAGAATGGCTTGGGTTGGAAGAGACCTTGAAGAGCACCCAGTGCCACCTCCTGCCATGGGCAGGGAAAACTTCACCTATCCCAGGTTGCTCCAAGCCCCGTCCAACCTGGCCTGGGACACTTCCAGGGATCCAGGGGCAGCCACAGCTGCTCTGAGCACCCTGTGCCAGGGCCTCCCCACCCTCACAGGGAACAATTCCTTCCCAATATTCCATATCTCCTTGCCCTCTGGAGGTTTACAGCCACCACCCTTTGTTCCATCACTACACACCCTTGTCCTAAGTYCCTCTCCAGCTCTCTTGAAGGCTCCCTTCAGGGAACAGGCATAACCAGCAGCAAGAACAGAGATTCCCTTTACTCATAGTCTCTGAAATCCCCGTTTTCCACAAAGGCAAGTGTGTAACATGGTGTACATTCAGTCAATTACTCGTCGCGTTAAACGCTCCCCGAGGCYGCACTTACAACACGCCGGTGTATCCGGGCGCGCAGTGGCACTCGCCGGTCTGGTGGTCGCACGTGGCTCCGTGGTGGCACTGGCACTGGAAGTGGCAGCCCTTGCCGTAGGTGCCCGGTTCGCAGAGCTCCTCGCAGCGCCAGCCGCGGAAGCCGTCGGCGCACACGCAGGCGCCCGTGATGGGGTTGCAGAGCGCTTCGTTCTGGCACTGGCAGCGGTTGCTGCAGTGGGGCCCCCAGTGCTCGCTGTCGCAGCCTGCGAACACACACGGCGTTATCCACGCGGGGACACGGGACAGCCTCACCCCCCAGCACCATGTGCACTTTGGCCAGAGCCTTCTAAAGGAGCCCCCGTTCCCAAACTGCCCCCCTGACCCGGCTTCACCATCTGCCCCTCGACCCACCCTCAGCATCTGCCCCCCCGACCCACCCTTAGCATCTGTCCCCACCCCGACCCTTTAGGATGCAAGGACACAGCAGCGCCACTGTTATATCTAAAGCTGAGGACTTGTTTAACACAYTATTGGAACAGGCCTGAAATCTTTTAATATCCTGTTTCTTAGTGCTTTTAGAAAGCTGGAAGGAATGAATTTATAGTGGAATTAGATGCACAGGGTCACATCCTGCCTGCAGTGCACTTAATGGCAGGCGGTGTTGCCAAGCAAATACTGTCGATTTAATAATGTCATCAAATATTGTTTCTTTGCTATGTTCCAATGAGATAACATACAAGATAATCTAAAGAAAGCTTTCTCCTTGGTGGTGTTTGGGTTTTTTGTTTGTTTTCTTATTTATTAATATTTTTTTTTTGTTTTCTGGACTAAATAGATGGGACAGAAGAAAGTAACACTGGAGACACAACATCCTGAGGCTGCCCAGGCTCAGGGATGAAGRAATGGGGTGAGGATGTCAGGTAATTCCTGTGCTAATGACAGCAATGTGGAAGGACCCCAAATCCACTGACCACTGACACCGAGAGGAGGTTCCCTATGGAATGTATTAAGGCACAGTGAGAACCCTTCATGTGACAATCCTGCCTCATTCCTTCTTCTCTTTGAGGAMCATATGGAGGATGAGAGAGGGAATTTACCCTTACAGGAACAATTCATCCTGATTTGCCATTGAAACAGCACCTGCACAACACCTYTTTGTGCTGCATGCATTGAACAGAGCTSAAAACAAACACCTGAGGTCAAGGTTTCCTCAGCAAAATGTCAGCAAAAAAAAATAAGGATTTCTTCAGCAGTCCTACCCTCCACTTAGCAGCCTTTCACCATAGCCATGGCAGGGGTAAAGAAAATCCTCACCCTATTCAGAACAGRGCTGCTGGGAAGGACACAGTCACCGACCGCTTTCCAGGTGCAGYTGGCTGTGCTCAGGGAGCCGATTTCAATTTCACCAACAAACCCCCTATGAGTGGTGTAAATCCCACTGCCAGGCAGGAGAGGAGAGTGAAATCCCAGCAACAGGGCTGGCTCCACAAACTTTTATTTGCAAACATGGAAACTAATCCCAGGTGACACACGCTGCTTCTCAGCCCCGGATCTGTTTCCAGGATTAGCGAGGTAAATGCAAAGCTCACTTAAGCCTGATGCTTTTGTCCTAGAAATTTCATAGCTCTCTCATTCTACAGTTCTTGGCTATAAACCCTCACTGGAAAACTGCAGCTACCAGTTAATTTTGGTAATATTTTTATTTATTATCTCTTATTTACTCAGTGTGAGGGTAGCCAGCAGAAAATGAAGACAGTTCTTATTTAATTTGCAATGCTGATCCCCAGTTTACAAACTCATGTTTCTTGAGCAAGTGTTAAAAATAAACACAGAAAAGACAATTCCAAGGTCTCAAAAAGATCTGCAGGTCTTACAGGTGCAGCRGTTTCATGTCCTGCAGGGAGCAGAGCACACGATGTACCCCTGTGSACAATCCTGCTCATGCTTCATCCCAGATCGTTTATTGCTTTGCCTCACTTCCCCACCGCTGTAAACAGGGATGATAGTTCCTCTCTAACACCACTGGGAGCCAAGCAAAACAAAATCTTACTCTTTATAAGACTTAAATTATTACTGAGAATCTGTGGGAAGAGATGATGTATCTTTATTTCAYAGAGACGCTTGCTAAGGCTCTGTGAGCCTTCTGGGGCAGAGAGCAAAGCTGCTGGAGCTGCTGGAGTTCCCCAGCAATTTCCATCCCAGAAACACTGATTTGTTTCCTGCAGAACTTGAACATCAAGGGATGCAGTTCTGAGTCTCCACAAAAGTACAAATCTGAACCACACAGGCACAGCTGATATCCCTCAGCACRAGGAAGTGGAGTTCAGGGATCAAACTGCACTCTGCCTGCTCTGGGAATTGGTTCTTGCCTTCCCACACCTCACATCAGAGCCTCAACTGCAGACTGTGGCTTGTTCTGGGCTGATACAGCTCTACTTGTAATTAATTTCCTTAATATGAATAAATAACACTCATTAGAAGAGATGATTCTATCCTTGCTCTTTCCCGTCTCAGGTGGGTGCTCCAAGYATCCCATTTGTCTGCTGGGTTTGTGTTTTTCACTTTGAAAGAAAGTGAAGGAAAAAGAAAATCATTTATAGGAAGGGAAAACAATTTCCCATCATTAGTTCAAGCATCTYGTTTCACCTGTACAGTGCCTGCCCTAAACACAGCTCCTTTCCTGTAAGTCCATCTTGTTTGGACCCTTTTACAAACAGTATTTGGTCACACCCTTGTTTTCTCCCTGTATCAAATTTCACCCCACAATGTCACCAAAGGAAAGAGCAAATTTCAGAAGCGCAGAAATTCCTCTGATTGGTTGAAAAATCATTAAAAATCCCAAATCTGGAAAAGCAATCCAGTTAGGCAGATTTTTCCATAGGGTTGTAAGTGACTGCACATTGCAACCTTCAGTATGATAAAGCTCAACGCAGTGAGCCCAAATGCCTTAAATATSTATGAAATAAAGCAACTTGGCATTCCAGATACCTACTAAAAATGTGATTTTCATGGGGATTTATTAAGGAGAGAACATAAAAATGAGGGTGAAAGTACATCCAAAAGCTCGTGGAAGACAGAAAGAATTACAAAAAGATGGGGATTTTACACTGTCTCATTGACAGTGTCTGACACAGCCTTTGCTTCTTTATGTTCCTGAAACTTCTACCAGGGATTGGCTGCAGTTCTCTAAATGTCCTGGTGTTTGTGTATAACCAAAGAGAACATCCTGCAGTCCAGTGATGGGGTCACAAACACACAATGTCCTCTTGRACTTTACAAGTTTAAAGCCTTTGCCTCAGATGGTGAAGATTTTCTGCTTTCAGCCACCAGTTCAAGGCCTACTCATGTCCCATTGAGCAGAGCCATTTCACACAGTAGCAATTAATCCACTGTTTATTAATTGCAGAGGGAATTCAGTGAAATTTGTTAGTGTAAAATTTTGGATGATGAAATGTCATCCTCACTGATTTTATACACATGAAAATAAGATCTTTGCTACTCAAAGTTTATCAATTCCTRTTGGTTTTCTCTTCCCTTTCTTTCTCATATTGCAGTGACAGACTGGCATGATTTCATGGGAACATGATGTGATATTTATATAATGATATAATGATAACTCTGAGATCTGCACTGTGGGAACTTCTGCACCTTTACAAGGTAGATACAGAGATTATGAGCTAAAACCCAAGTACTTATTCATACAATTAACTCCACTGAGCTCCACAGGCTCACTCAGGTGTGAGATTACTCAAGTGTGTAACTGGCTACTGGATTGASATTCAGAAGCTCCTGCTAGGAAATTATAAAACAGAAGAAACCAGACTTCAGCATCCTAGAGATGTTTTTTTTTTTCTCTATTTTTCAATGTGGCCAGTCTAGCTGGTGTGTGACAGTGACTCCAGGTTCTGACACAGAGAGCAGAGCAAGCTCAGAGCCACGGGATCCCACTGCACTTTGGGATCGTCAGCACCCCTTCCCCCTTGGAGGGACCATTTTAAACCTCAACCCCAGCCTAGCACAGTCTAAACCTGCTCTTGTTGATTGCCTCAGTGTGTTACTGTAATAGAGATAAATAATAGCAGCACCAACACGTGAACAGAGAGCTGCTTAAAGCTCACACGAGCGCTCCCCTGTAAATGCAGATGCCATTAAAAATGTCAAAATGATACAGAGACTTTAACCAGAGCATCAATAAGGAAAGGAACCTGAGAGAGGCAATGTCAGSGAGGTACAAATGCTCCCTTTAGCTGCATGTGGGATATCAATAGCATGAGGGATGAGTCTGGAACAGCCACTATTCTCTGGGGAGATGCTGCATTAAAGGGAACTGCCATATTTCAGGTCACGTGCCCACATTCCCTGGCAAACTTCCTCACTTTTTCACTTCTGGAAATATAGCTGGAGATGAACTGTCACCAGTAAAATATCTGTGGCTGTGTAAAGGGTGAGGCTGGGTGCCTAAGCACAGTCCCAGGGGTGGGCACAGGGTGCTGTGACAGCAGAGGGATTAACCCCTTGGGGAGCCTGCTCAGTGCAGCACCAATGGCTCTCCTCCTCTTGCCATCCCCACTCCCACAGTGAAACCTCAGGTACCTCCTGAAGTGAGKGCTAATTCCTGCAGGCTCTGCTGCTACAATCATCAAATCACTCAATGGTTAAGGCTGGAAAAGACCTCCAAGATCACCAAGTCTGACTTTCAACCGAACTACCCCGTGCCCACTAACCATATCATGGAGTGCCACATCTGCTTTTTTTTTTGAACTCTTTCAGGAATGGTGCCTCCACCACTATCCTGGTGAGCYTGTTCCAGTCCTTAACCACTCCTTCAGTGAGGAAATTTTCCTGCTATGGTTGTGCATGACATCCTATCAGCTGATGTGTCCTGGTAAATACACGTTGAGGACACACTGGAAGCGCCGCTTCATTCCCAAGGGCTGTTATCCCTCTAGGAGCAATTGGGGAACTGCCGCACTCTGGGTCAATGGAGACACCCAGCACTYGGTGCAGCAGCACAAGGCACACAGTGAAGCAAACACAGGAGTTTGAACAGGTAGCAGATAAATAAAAGGACTCCCAGGGAAAGGATGACATTTATTGAGTGACTTATCCCAACAAGAGAGAGTCAAAAGTGCTTTTCCAGAGCTTTCCCATCACTGCAAGCACACACTGTTAATATGAAAACAGCATCTTCTAGCACAGCAACACAGAACCTGTGGTCTCAAGGTCTGAGCTTATTCTGCTCTCATCAGCATCAGCCTCCCTG